CACATGGCGACGCGACCTGACAAGGCTCATCACCATGGTGATGCTGGCCCAAACCAGCCCAAGGGAACACCAGGCAGGACAAATGTCTGACAAATGCTGGATCCACTAGCTGTTTGAGTCTGAGTCTTGGAGGATTCAACATCGACGCTGACTCTTTTCTACAAAACCCTCCGGAACTTGTGACCAAATCATGGATATGGAATGATATGGATATGTGCCTCGGGATTTCTACAACAACAGCATCACCAAGTCCAACTGTTCAGTTCCCAGTCACCATTCTTGATCTCAGCGATGCGTCGGCGGCGGAAGGTGTCTTGATCACCATCCTGTGGCGTTTTATGTCGCGGCCAGGGTCAAGGTACGATTTGCGAATTTCAGATGGGTACAGCAACTGTTCATCACAGGGAACGAGATGACTCTGCATTGCATTGAAACCTCTGGAAACCGTCACCAAATTTGGATGGCTTAACGAGAGTTTCCCATTTCGGTCATCTTGAGTCCCTCCATTCTGAACTCCCTCGTATGGTGGCTTTCGCAAATTAGGACCACAAAAATGGGATCGTTTAATCCTGGGAGAATACCTGTTTAGTTTTTTCGTTAAGAACTCACCACATGCCATATGCAGTTTTTTTCAGGTTTAACCCTCGATTTGCAGTGGCCTTGGACATGCCCAGAGGATCAAAGAACTTCAAAGGCAGAGTGACACCAGATTCGTTCTCGAAGGATTTGCACACCTCGTACTTAAAAAAGCTGGAATTTAATGGGATTGGAAAAACAATTATGGGAAAATATTGTATATTGGACTATACCGGGATATGTAAGTAACAACTTGAACTTGAAATTCATGATAATTCATGCATCTTTTCAATCTGTCTGCCTTCCAAGTCATTGTCATCCACAGACATTCCACGCTTCATCACTTTGGTTCCCTGACTCAAAGTCCGAACGTTGGGTGCCTGAAATCCGACTCTCTCAACCAATCTCAACCAGCGGCATCAAGAAAGCTTGTAGCATAGAACCACAGCGTATTGCCTCCAAATTCGTTCGTTTGAAACTACTATATAGTATGTTTTCGGGTATGGGCCAATTGTTGGGTAGCATCCAATTTCCGGCCATCACTGAACTGGTGCTCTCTTGGGTGGTTCTGAAGCCGAACGCCCAAGGCAAACGATAATAGAACTCTGGGACCACAAGTTCACCCTTGGCAACCAAACCTGGCAATCCAAAATCCACCTGTGTTTTTTCTGCAAAAACAGCGAAAACTGCTATGCAAAAATCGCCCGTCTTCTGCCCCCCTCCCATCCCCTCCCATCCCCTCCCACTTGACACCCGTCTTCGCCCCGAGGCACTGTGGTCTTGCGACTTCGCGCCGCCCCGGCTGCCACGATGCACAGGGCAGCAGCACCACTGGTCACAAGGCCGCTGCTGCTGCTGCTGCCACGGGACAAGCCCCGAAGGTGGGAGGTGCTGGCAGCCTGGAGATGGAGTTCAGTTGGGAATGGGTCAAGCAATTGTGGCCCCCAAAACAATTGAGTGGTGGATGGGACTACTAGAAATGCTGATGGGATCGGCTGCCACCATCTTCAGAAAGCTCCATGAAATCATCCGTCCATAACTTATATCCATTCCCCTCGTCATCACTGGTGGGCGGTTTCAACCCATCCACATATTCCAAATGTTGGTCACTTGGATCCCCCTTTCAGATGGGAGAAAAATGAAACCTGTTGTCGGTTGAAACCCATGATCCCAAATGCATCCGCTATAACCGCTCATATTTCAATATAATTATATAATAATCATAAAAATTATACTTGTATAGAATTATGCCTCTATAAACTCAATCTATCTATCTACCTATTTACCTATCTACCTATCTACCTATCTAACTATCCTATCGATCTATCGATCTATCTATCTATCTAACTAATCGATTCTATCTATCTATCTATCTATCTAACTATTCTATTCTATTCTATTCTATCTATTCTATCTATCTATCTATCTATCCATCCATCCATCCATCCATCCATCCATCCATGCATCCATCCATCCATCCATCCATCCATCCATCTATCTATCTATCTTATCTATCTTATCTATCTTATCTATCTTATCTATCTTATCTATCTTGTCTATCTGTCTATCTGTCTATCTGTCTATCTGTCTATCTGTCTATCTGTCTATCTGTCCATCTGTCTATCTGTCTATCTGTCTATCTGTCTGTCTATCTACCTACCTACCTATCTATCTATCTATCTATATATCTATCTGTCCGTCTGTCTGTCTATCTATCTATCTGTCTATCTGTCTATCTGTCTATCTGTCTATCTGTCTATCTGTCTATCTGTCTATCTGTCGATCTGTCGATCTGTCGATCTGTCTATCTGTCTATCTGTCTATCTGTCTATAGGTCTATGGGTCTATCGGTCTATCGGTCTATCGGTCTATCGGTCTATCGGTCTATCGGTCGATCGGTCTATTCTATCTGTCTATCTGTGTATCTATCTACCTACCTACCTATCTACCTACCTACCTACCTATCTACCTACCTATCTATCTATCTGTCTATCTATCTATCGATCTATCTAATCTAATCTAATCTAATCTATCTATCGATCGATCGATCTATCTATCTATCTATCTATCTAATCTAGCCAAATCTAATCTAATTATCTATCTATCTATCTGTCTGTCTGCCTGTCTGTCTGTCTGTCTGTCTGTTTATCTATCTATCTATCTATCTAATCTAATCTAATCTAATCTAGTCTAATCTAGTCTAATCTAATCTAATCTAATCTATTTATCTATCTATCTATCTATCTATCTATGTATGTATCTAATCTAATATCATCTAATCTATCCAATCTATCTAATCTATCTACTCTATCTACTCTATCTAATCTATCTAATCTATCTAATCTGTCTAATTTATCTAATCTATCTAATCTATCTAATCTATCTAATCTATCTAATCTATCTAATCTATCTAATCTATCTACTCTAATCTACTCTACTCTAATCTAATCTAATCTAATCTATCTATCCATCTATCCATCTATCCATCTATCTATCTAATCTAAGCTAATCCAATCTATCTATGTATCTATCTATCTATCTAATCTAATCTCATCTCATCTAATCTAATCTAATCAATCTAATCTAATCCAATCTAATCCAATCTAATCTAATCTAAACTATTTATCTATCTATCTATCTATCGATCGATCGATCTATCTATCTATTCTATTCTATTCTATTCTATCTATTCTATCTATCTATCTATCTATTTATCTATTAATTAATTGTTTCAAGCCACCTCCCATCCCACACTGCCTGTGCAGTGCTAGGAGCGGCTCCAGGCACGAAAGCCTCGCTGCAAAGGTAGGCGCCAGCTGCGCCAGCGGCCAGGAGGCTCAAATTCTTGGCCTTGGTGCCGCAGCCGTGCGCTGTGCCCTGGGACTCTTTACTTCATACACAGACTACATATCTATATATGTATATATACGTATATTTATCAATAGCAATATGCCCACAAATGTTGAAATTATTGAGACCTTCCGTACTAGATGTACTAGTAGTGCCCTCATGTGCCCTCCATCACTCCATCTCATTCCCGCAACATGTCCCATCCCCAAATCTCTGGGTTCTCCAGCCATGGCTAGGACTTTCTCACCTCTATGGATCTCAGCGGACGATCCTTTTGCTTCTACTTGAGCAGCCGCGGACCCGCCGACCCATCGGTGATCGTGATCCACTGTTGATGGTCGCAGCCCCCTATGAAATCATAATCCAAACACTTCAAACTGCAGGGCTGCAGTGCAGTATCAACACCCTGAGTAAAATAGGAACTTAGGCATACCCCTTTTCCACCCAAACCTTCCATCCCAATCTTCGTCTGAAATCCAGTGATCCAAAATGATCCAAATATATTCCCGCTGGACTTTCAACTTTTTGCCTCTTTTTGCCTCCTTTTGGATGTGGTGTGCAAAGCTGCGCTGTGAACCTGCCAGGATCCGGTGCTGAAAAAACTCGGGAAAAGCTACTCACACACTTGCAGATCTTGCAGGATATGTAGCTGCCGGCTTTGGGTCGCACTTACAACCCCAAACAGATAAAACAGACAAACTTACACCATGTTCCTCATTTTTTAGACTTCACTATCCCAATTTTCGGGTATTGAGATGTCAGTTTCACTGAGGCCCCGCCTATGCCGGTGGCAGCCACATGGCTGGGCCAGTGGTGCCAACAGTGCCATTCTGGAAGAGCATGGCCATCAATGCAACCATCGCCTCGTAGTGTTTGGTGCCAGAAAGGATAGGGATACGGGATGCATCAAGTATCATCTACCACCATCTACCACCCATCAAAAATTGATGGCCCGATAATCCACAGATTGCTGGATCAAATATGATCAAATCTGAAAATCGAAATTAGGCTTCAAAAGTGGGAGCCACTTTTAAATGCACCTGAACCTTTTGATATGGGAGCCACTGGCAATTTCACAGTTTGCTATGGAATTTCACCATTTGTTCACGTTTCTTATAGGTAAATCATCGGCTGATTTGGTGACCCCGAAAGGAGTTCACCAAGGCCCGCGCCAGTCGCCCATTGGCGATCTCGGCTCTCAGCTTGGTTTTGCGAACCTCTGCGGTGCTGCTGCGGTGTTGCTGCGGTGAAACCGTGAAACCGTGTGAAACCTCCAGTGTAATGAGCGCAATGTGAAAAGAAGAAGAATACTGAATACTCATGAATACTCAAATGATTATTCAATAATCCCAAGTAATAGGCCAAGGCCAGTTTGTCGATTTTAACAGCCATGAAGTCGCTATCTCAACGGTCGCTCCTCGGGGTCCTTGAACTCAATAGGCTCGAAGTTGAAGATGAAGTTCTTGCCAGCACCAAGGAAGCCATAGCCTGCCCATCATATCCCATCATAACAGTGTACGATCTTCATGGGGTCCCAATATGTCCCAATCATACACACAAAAACAGGATAAAACAGGCATGTCACGTCCAAGGTCCATCCGAGTTCGAATACCCGTTTCTATCCATATTCGCAAATGAACATGCGAATTGAAGACAACCTGCACCATTGCTGAAACCGACAAACCGACACATTGAAGTGGGATGAATCGGAATGAATCGGATACCTTCAGACCTCCACGTGCCTTCATAGTCACCTGGGGCACGCTTTGGGTCCTGGCGCCAGAAGTAGCCCTCATAGTGGCCCAAGAAGAGCACGATCTGAACCCAGCCCTCCAGAGGCACCTGCCACTGGATGATGTGATCAGATTGGGCGAGAATCCAGATTTTCAGTGGATCCTGCACTTCAATTCTTGGACAATCAAACTCTGATCTGCATGTTGTGCACTTCTGTATTTTCTTGTGTGATTATACTTGACTTATCTCTCTCTCTCTCTCTTTATATACTTGACTATACCGCAAGTAGATGAAAGTGATGTCCAAACATGTCCCAACAAACTTATGAAGCAACCAAAAGAGTAGCCGTGCCCACCTTGGAGATCGCCGCAATGCCATGAGGCATGTCAGCGAACTTGATGCCCTGTCGGCGCAACGTCCGACAGCATGGAACACATCTGGACACATGAAAGCCCCAAAACAAAAAGGGATGGTGATTTCTTTATGTTTTCGTGTTTTTGTTGGTTGGATTTCATGTTCATCAATTTCATGGGTGAACATCGTGAACACAGATGTCCAATGTTGCTTCTCCATGACGTGGAACATGGCAGGTAGCAATGCGAACATGGCAAGTTATCCATCCTATCTGATCCCATCCCATCGCATACATCAAATCAATTCACCAGCCATAAAAGTCCCCTTGTTTATCATCGGTGACATCGCAGTGAGGTGGCTATATAGGCTATAATTTATCCACATATATAATCCCACTATATCCCCGTGGATATTCCATTAGTATCAATATCCCATCATATCCCCAGTTAGTTGGCTCGATACTGGCACCATACGTCACACGTTTGCCTTCTCTGGAGAGAGGTAGCCGGGCCAGCGGAAGTACTCAGGGACGATGTAGCCAACCTTGACATGTTCTCTGCAGAGGAAAAACAACAGTTGGCCAACAGTTTTTGACAAATGAACTGTCCCAATGCACTTACAAAATTCATATCAAAATTCCCGCTTCGAAAGAGCCCATGGATGATGTATCTGTGCTATTTTCATGGTACCTTTCTACACATATACTGGCTACAGTATGGCTACATTGCATACATCTACCTATCTGAAGTTCAGATTGAACATATTCAAACACACCCGATCTATACCCATGGTTGATACAGCTGCATCTGGTTCCTGTCCTCACGTGCAACCAAGCAACGCATGCCAACATGCCTCAAAGCTTGGTTACCCTGTTTAGAGGATGGGGATCGGAATCATCTGGGGAAAGCCCTGGAATGATCGGAGATACCATGACTAAGCAACCAGTACACTATATAGCCTGAAACTGCCAAAATCTGCAAAAATCGGGACCCATATCCACATAGTTCGGCTTTTCTCGGAACAAAATGGAGCAATCGCCAAGATTGGGCAATGGAAGCATCCTTCAGTCCCAGCTGCAAATGCGTCCGTGCTTCAATTCCGCGGCGCGGCGGCGCTTGAAGGTGTCAACCTTAGCGAAGATCTATAATAGTCTATCATAGTCTATAATCGTCTACAGATCGACGATCTACTGCATCTACTGGAAATCTTCACGTCCTCCGTCCTTGCGTTTAGTCAGTTTCGTCCTTTCGTTTCAGCCTTGGCTCCGCTACATCGCTACGCCGCTACATGGCCAATGAGCTCCGCTACATGGGGCTCTGACGTCGCCATCAGCAGACAGGCCCAAGGGGTCCCAGAACCCCACGGGTGCCTGCACGCCCAACTCGCCTCGCAGGTATCATCTTTGTGACGATCAAAACACGAAATCAATAAATTGCTGGGAAAATCTAGAGGACACCCGTAGATTTCATGGCAAAATCCATGGTTTCCTGATGTTTCCTGTAGATTTTCCCACAAAAACCAATCCAATACCAATCCATTGAATTAAGACATGAAAATCATTTAAAATCTATGATATTCACGTCCTGGCCAAGTCCCCCAAAAATGTGAGCCAATCGGAACCGTCAGGGGCAGCATGAAGAAAAAATAACATAACAACATGAAATAAGAATCTAGATTGATTACATCCCGAATCCATTGATGTTCGATCCCGATCTTTGGCTTGGAAAACCGCTGCCACATGTTGTGTTGGTTGAAGCCGTTAACCATCCACCAATCAATTTGCAATTATAGGTATTTATAGGTATAGTTTATTCCTTACATCCCCATCATTCTCATATATTCTCTGAGACACTTTGAACCTGAACAATGTTGAACCACTTTGAACCATATTTTGAAGCATTTTGAACCCCCTGAACCAGTCATCGCTTTTCATGCCCTCCCCTTGAAACTTCAGCACCTTCAAAGGCGGAGGAAGGCAGCCACATGTCAGGCCCGGTGGTGCCGAAGAAGGCATTCTGGGAGATCATCCCAGTGATGGCCACCATCGCCTGGGTGTTCGTTTGAGTAAGTGGGTTATAACTTGAAAAATATATATATGTATATGTATATATATATATATGTATGTATATATATATATGTATATATATATATGTATATATATATATATGTATATGTATATATATATATATGTATATATATAAAACCCACATATAACCCTGTTTTTACTGGATTGGTAAGTGGTCCCAAAACCCACATCTACTCCGTACAGTACGTATATAAGATGCATATTGCCCACTTACTAACTGGGATGCACCCCCAAGTATATCGTTTTACCTTTCAAAAATGGGGGGTCTGAAATCTTGCCTCAAGCCCCAGACAAAGTCAGGGTTAAGGGGTTTACTGTTTCAAACAACCCTCAAATTAAGTTGAATCCACCACAGAGGAAACATATCATCTTTGGGGGGTCATTGTCCACTTCCATGGTAGGGCAAGTGCAGCCAGACTTGATGATCATGGTTACGAAGATGCACAGAGCTTCACAACCCGTGGCACAGGTAAGGCGTGGTAAGGCATGGCAAGGCACCAATCGTCCGTTGTTGATCTCAGCATCCAGGGATCGGCTATTGACATCAGGCTCCTTGGTGCGAAGAAGTCTGACAGAGTCAGAATGGCTGGGATTCAAAGTCCCTGCATTGCTTAGCTTATTTGGTTTCACTAGAAGGCTCCTAATAAAAAATGGGCGACTCCTTCATCTTCATCAAGGAACTGACCTACAGATCCTTCCAGTGAATTCTACGTCTCTTGTTTCTGAATCCTAGGAGGTTTTGCAGGTTTTTGGTGTTCAGCTTCTGATGTTCTATCATCGCCAGTTGCCACCAAGCCGCGGCCTTCTTGGGCAGCGGCAAACCGAGCTTCCCGAAGCCAACCAAGTCACCTGGGATTCGATCTGCCTCCTGCCTGGCATAGGAAGACAGGTCACCTAGAGATACTCCATTCACCCCTGCTCACGCAATTACAAGAGACAAGAACAAAATCGTAATATATAAATTGGAAGCAAAAGTCGCGGTTGATTTGGCCAGTGGAAAATGGAACAGCCCCAAACATCACCTGCACTAAACCGACCACTCGACCATTATGTGAAAATGCCACCTTCCAGGGAAGAGCTCCAAGAAGCCAATGAAGACAGCGATCTGTGCCCAGCCCTGAGCTTCAAAGTAGGCACCCTTTTTAATTTCGCAGGGATAACATGGGATTGTCAACCGTAAAGTTCTCAGTGTCCTTCATTTTCCAGCGGATTTTCCATTGGCAGCTCATGAATCCGACATCTGCAGGAAGTGCATCCCCGCCTCGGCAGGCAGCTTGTACAAGGCCTGGATTCCGTTGGGAATGTCGGCAAACTTCAAGTCTGCGCAAGGTCCGGGGTGCTGCGGCTGTTGGTTGGCTGTATCCCAACACCAACATATCCCCAGGGAGATGGGAGTTGGATGGGTAGAATGGGTAGTGGGAAAGCGACAACTCCATCTGTGGCATGGTGGCTCTGAAATTTCGACCTAAGTAGGCACCCAGATTCAGGTTCCACTAGACTACGAATCTGGCCATGATCAACTGCAGAAGAATATGCAAAGCCCTCACCTAAGAATGGCCTCCAAACAAAACCAACGAAAAACACAACTGCTGCGGACGCAACTGCAGCCTGTTGATGGAGAGCAGTAGCCGGGCCATCGGAAGTACTCAGGAACAATATAACCCATGCAGGCCCACATGGCAACTCTGCCTCAGTCTCTGCAGAGTTTTTTTTTATCCTGACTGCACAGTCTAGCTGTCTGAGTCAGTTGTATGACGCTCATTGTCGCAGTCATTAACACCCTCCCGGAAGAGCAACGACAAACCCCATTTTCCATCATGAATATTCCATGATAATATTACGGCCAGGCGCCTTGTGTTGCCCGGAGATTTACAGGGACGTTCCCGGCATGTTGATGATGATGATGATGATGATTGAAGATCTTCAATGAATGTAAGAGTTTCACGGGGTGGGAGAATTAAACCCTTATTGAAGATCTTCAATGAATGTAAGAGTTTCACGGGGTGGGAGAATTAAACCCTTATTGAAGATCTTCAATGAATGCAAGAGTTTAACGGGGGTGGGAGAATTAAACCCTTATTGAAGATCTTCAATGAATGAAAGAGTTTAACGGGGGTGGGAGAATTAAACCCTTATTGAAGATCTTCAACGAATGGAAGAGTTTAACGGGGGTGGGAGAATTAAACCCTTATTGAAGATCTTCAATGAATGGAAGAGTTTAACGGGGGTGGGAGAATTAAACCCTTATTGAAGATCTTCAATGAATGTAAGAGTTTAACGGGGGTGGGAGAATTAAACCCTTATTGAAGATCTTCAATGAATGTAAGAGTTTAACGGGGGTGGGAGAATTAAACCCTTATTGAAGATCTTCAATGAATGGAAGAGTTTAACGGGGGTGGGAGAATTAAACCCTTATTGAAGATCTTCAATGAATGTAAGAGTTTAACGGGGGTGGGAGAATTTATATGAGATGTATAGTGTGAACAAAAAATCCTTGTAATTTACGCTATTCTGGGCTTGGGCAACACAAGGTGCCTGTGGGTAATATTACATAATATTCCATGATATTCCATAATTACACAATATAATACCGACCATAATTCAATGCCTGGCAGAAGCGACAAACAATCTCACACATCAAACAATATCAGGCCATGGCAAAACATGGCAAAACATGGCAAAACATGGTTAAGCCATGGTTAAGCCATGGTTAAGCCATGGTTAAGCCATGGGTGAGCCATGTCAAACCCCACCAGGGCACCGTTCTTGATCTCTGCAATACGACGTCGCCGGAAGGTCTCTGCATCGCCATCCTGTGGCGTCTGTCGATGCCCAGAGTCAGATCGAACCACCGATTTTGGTCACCAAATTTGAGGTTTAAACGGTTTGGTGACCAAAATATACCAAAATGTTTCTCATATGTTTCATCTAGTCCCATTTTGAAGCTACGATTTTGACCGCCATAGCCGCCATATCCACCATACTGCAACGGACACCTTGGACATGCCCAGAGGATCAAAGAACTTGAAGGGCAGGGTCACGCCGGACTCATTCTCAAAGGACCTGCACACCTGAATCGCAAGGGTCATCAAAAATAATGAATAAACTGATAGAAAACTTATGAAAACATACCGTGCACAGTTTCAAAAAAAGAAACACTACAATTCAACATACAGTACATGCAAACATATTTGCACTGTCTTGCGCAAAAATTTCTACATTTTGTCAGGGTTTATGTCAGCGTTCGTGCACGTGGAAGGAACATGAATGATCATGTTTGTAATGAGTCACAAAATATAGCAAACGGGAGGTGTATGTATATGCATATGTATATATATATATAACAATATAATCTATGTCCTAAATGATACCAAATGTACTAGGAAGAAAAAAACAAAAACATACGATTTGAAAAGTATACGTTTGAGAAAACTCTACTGCGATTGCAGAAAACGGTAGCCCAACCAAGAAAAAGTTTACGTTTTGATTTGCGGACCTGTAATTGATTGTACTACTTTTTGACATTGCGCTCGAGTTGCGCAAAATTGCGCACGAATTGCGTTTTGCACGTTTTTGGTTTGGACAGCTGCGAAAACAGTACAAAATTCAAAAATGAATAGGTTTGCCTGAAAACGTATACGGCCTGTAATTTTTTAGTCGTTCTCATGATGTATTATATATATATATATACATATCACATATATAATTTAATGCAATATATTTTATCATATCATATCATATAATATCATATCATATCATATCATATCATAATCATAATCACAATCATAATCATAATAATAATATATCATAATCATATATAATACCATTAGAATATCATGATATCATCATGGAAATCATGATGATGGTTGTGATGGAAATCTTGTTAGCGCTGCTGCCACAGTGACAGTCTTGCGTCCGCGTGCAGCGCCACCAGTGGCCGCAGCCACTGCGCCAGCAGCGGCCACACCCAGAACGGTGCTGGTGGCGAATCCGCTGCTGCTCTTGCGGATCTGAGAGATTGGTGCCTGGTTTGCCTGGTGACTCAGGCCAGACTGAGATCGGAGTCCGGGTCCGGTCTGCAAATTGTTGCAGGTACGTCCGACTGAAATTCGGAGATTCCCCTCAATCTTCAGCAGCAAATCTATGAAATAGAAAATGGTTTTCAGGGAATTGTCTATTGACTTCAGTCCAAGGTGGCATGAAAAAAATCCTGACATTCCAAATTTCTCAGCCCTTCAAGTCCACTACAAGTTCTCCTTGGACTCATCCTGCCTGAGCACGTGCAACACCAACACCTGGCACAAAGGCCTCGCTGCAGAGGTAGGCGCCAGCAGCGCCAGCGGCAAGGAGACTCATGGATTTCGCCTCGTTTTTGAATCATTGTGACATTGTCACCAACGGATTGGTTTATGATGTGTCTGGGAAAATGTTGGAATCCTGGTACATCTGGTACTGGTGTTGAATCCCAAATATACAGAAGGGTTTCTCGCAAAATTACAGGGAAACCTGAGTTTTAATACCGAATTTGTGTAAGGGTTTGTCTTATTTTCCCATCCAAAAAAATGAGATGAAAGAAACAAAACACTAATTGGTATCGAAATGATTTGTTTTGAAAAATTGAGAAATAAAACGGTTTGATTCGATTGTTGCCAGTAAACTTAATCAAATATTGAGACCTTGGTAATGGTAGTATGAACAGGTAGACTCAACCTGAAGTCTGTTGTTGAATCTAAATTTGAAATAATTGATTGTAAATGGTTTGTTTGTCATCTTGCAAATGTTGTGTTGAAACAAACAAACAAACCTCAATTGGAAGGTTTCCCACCACGCGTTTTTTCTTTGAAGGGAACGAGCTCTCAAAGCAACAATCAAACCATTGACCAACTGAGGCCGCCGCCATTGGAACGAATAAAAAGCTAAGTATAAAAAGAATTCCCTCTACAGTCACAAAAATTAGGCCCGAGCCAATTTCTGCAGAGCGCGCGGACAATGCAAAGAGATATGGTGGGCGTGAGAACAATAGGACAGTGGAAATTTCATGATATGAAGTCACTGAACGTGCCAACATTTTTGTTCCGCCCTCCCCCCCCCATTGCATGCATTTGCGAAAATCAACTCCCACAACCCCAACAACCCCAACAACCCCAATGTCAAGAAACGTTCAATACCCTTTTAAACAGCTACTTGGAGTGCTACACATGTCTCCATTCAGCACTGATCCTCGTTGTCCCATCTGTTTCAAGTCATGGTCTACTGCCCAAAAAACTGCAACAACTACAAACCAATTGTTTTTTCTTGCTGGGTGCGAGCGTTTGCTGGAGTAAAAGTTCCCAGTGTAGAACTCGACCGGTTTGCAAATGATTGTTCTGTCTAAGTTCTGCCCGATTTGCCAGCCCGTTTCTGATCGCTGGTGGCCATCGCAAGAGAAGGCAAAATTGAGGTCCCCACCAATAACTTGCCAGTGGAGTACTCCAAAATCACCCAACGTGCCTGGACAATCATCGACAGCCCAGGCAGACTGAGACCCATAATATCATCCTGTCTCGTCCATAGGTGTCAGGTGGAAAACATCCCTTCCCCAAAGCTTACATGGCTAAGTCTCATGGCCCATTTCGTCCCATGATTTCCCAACAAAACCTCCTTGCTTGATTTCAGCCATTTCGGATCATTTCGGCAGTGTTCACCGGATTGAAATAGTGATTTTCCACAATCATCATCCAAACCGATGAATTTGAAATATGAGAAATCACCATGTGATAGTGATAATCATTTTCAGGTGAAACATTGCAAAATATGGCAAAATCACAAAATCATCGTTCAACGGGGCCACGGCAGTAATCCGCCTCATCATGGACCATGAAGAAGGTCCCATCCAGGTGAAGCCGTTTGGCCGAGGCCAAATCGTCCCACTTCACGAAGTCACCCTTCGGTCGTAAAGGGCCATCTTGAAATGACGAGCAGGGGGAGATCCATCATGATCCATCTGGGTTTGGAGGATGATAAAGGTCCCAGAGATATTGGTCATGTTTGATATGTTTGATGTTTGGGAACATTTATATCATTTATTCATCAACCGTCCAAGCGGCTGATGTAACGTAATTCTTGACTCAACGCGGCATCCAACAAAACCTGGCCTGTGGCTGTGGCAACTTGATGACGCCGCTAGCATCCTGCCAACGCAGCTAAATCACAGCCTTGAGCCATGGCAACATCGCCCGTCCTCATAACATCTGGTGGTCTCATAGAAGTCTTCCGTGACCTTGCAACACCGAAGAGCCGGAAAGGTAGGAAGAAACCCGGGTGGACTAAGATGAACAAAGATGGACCAGAATCGACCAGAATCGACCGGAATCTCAACATCTTTCCAGTCCCTCCCCAGGCGCCGCACAGTTCCCGCTGATGCATCAATGATGACAGGGATGACAGCGAGAATAACCAAACTTGGGATGATAACTTGATAACCAACACATGGGGATAATCATCCCGAGAATCAACCAATTTCTTCTCTCATTGGTATTATGTCCACATATGTCCACGTATTATCCCATTATCCCAATAGGTTTTGGGTATGGTGAACCACCGCGTCTCCAAGTGCCCGTGGCCTGCAAAAAGAAGTGAGGCCGACAAGGGTATTGATGCCCATCCTGATGAATCCAACACTGACATCGAAGACCATAGATACCATAGAATGGCTCTCAAAATGTCCGCGTTTAAATGCTTACAAATATTTACAAATGCTTGTAGCATTCAATAGGATTAATCTCTCTCTCTCTCTCTGAGAGACTCTCTCTCCATGTGGGACGGTGCATGTTAGGAAATTGTATGCATCTACCTGCAAATTATATAGGCAAAATGGCATTTGCATCAGCCTCTTAGCCCTGCTTTGCCTGACGAATGCTTCTAGAGTTACCAGTCTTTCGAGTGTTGGGAAGGTACTATCATCTTTCTGCCCCATTTTTCCACCACATCACATGGCATGAGCGAATCCTGTTCCAGCTTCACAAAGCTGCAAATGGATGGATCCTGGCAGCATTTTGGGAGGCCAGACTCCTCCCTCTCAAATTGTTGGGAGGCTAGGCATCCTTGTTCTTTGGAGTAAATTGCTTGTTTTTTCCTACGAACGGAAAAGATGGAAAAGGAATGAATAGAGAAGGCGTGTGCCTTCTTTCTTGACAATCTGAAGCCCAGCACCAACACCATTCCTGTGCCAAGTTTCTCCAAATTTCAGCTTCCTGTCCCACCAGGTCCCACCTTTGGCTCGGCCCCAGCTTGCTGTGGCAGTTCTGCCAGGAAGCATCCCGACCTCCCAGCCGCCAGTGATGTCTTCGTTTGGGGCTGGCAGTGATCCGCACAGCTGAGTTCCCCTGCCAGTCTTTTCCGAACAAGTGGCCCACCTGACAGACTGAGAACGTGCGACACCTCTCGGATTTGCGTTGTGTGTGTGTGTGTCCTTTTTTTGGTTCAAAATCCAAGAGATCATGATCGTGTGCCACTGCGAGCAGAGGAGTCAGTGTGTGGCATAGGTTTGATCATTCTTGCATTCCTTTGAGGATCACGCTTTGATGCAACGTACATTCCATCAATGCGCCCATGGTGAAATAGACGTGGCATTATTAACATTCAAGACATGATGCGTTTCCAGGAGTGGGCTGGAACTGATCTTCAAGTTTTCCCGTTTTTTTTTAAACAAGGGGACGCAGAAATTTCAGGAGAATCTATCAACCACAGGTGATCACCCATGCCCTCACCAACCTTGTTGTTGAAAACCCGGCGACAGGTGTCGTAGATGTGACCTTTGCTGTTGCATCCCCCCACTTCACCAAGAAGTATTGTTAAGCGAATGCTTGCGCAAAAACTCCTGTGGCACCTTGTATATGGATATGATCGTTGAGTCTGGTATCCGTACGACACCGTGCTCGCCGTCAGGCCTCCCAATCATTTTGGGCCCACGTCAACAAATCCCTTTTTTTGGCCCAGGTACGATCTGCTCCTCCAAAGCAAATCAAACACTGGTCAAGTGAGAAGCTTTAGTGATTTGTTTTAAGGTCGGCTGTGCTGACCCTAAGACGCATGGGCGGGAACAGGGTGCAAAGCCGTCTGATCTCAAGGTATGGATTCAAATTGAAGGCAAAATGGAAGCCCGTGCATCCCGGATATTTGCAAGCGAAGATTGTGTCTGCTATCTTCATCACATTGAAGTCAACAAGCTGGAACCATGAGTTCCACAGGCACACCACAACCCAATCTCCACAAAACCAACGCCTTGAAAGAACCCTCCAGTCCCCCAATGGCAGTCCTCGGAGGATGTCACCCTCCAGGAAGGCCCAGTGCCGCTTCTTCTTCTCAGGGCACCATACGTTGAAGACTTTAATTTCCTGGTGTCTTCCCAGTGTCAACAAGAAACGCCAGGACCCAATCAAGCTCTCATCATGTTATGTACAAGGACCAAGGTACTTTTTTTTTTGCTTGGTATACTTATACATTGCAAAAAAATGCCAAATATTGAAAGCACATTCTCGATGTGTCTGTGTCTATCGGAGTTGCTGGAGTAGCTTCTGCAAACCTCAGTGACAGAGTACCAAGTCGTAGCGTCAGCGGACCTTCTTGTTTCGATCAACATAGATGGGTACGATCGCGCCACCTAGGATGGCCAGCGGTGTATCACCATGGATCTTCCCATGGAGATAGATAGAAATAGATTGAAATATAGAATATTATAGAATTAGAATATGTTTGAATTATACAGATGTACACATATGAGTGGCGGACAAAATTACTTACTACTCATAATGGACATGGCCAAAGTGGGTGGTCCCATATCGGTTGTGAAGGTTTTTACACAGATTTGAGCATCCCATGTCCACTCCTTACTACTTTAGTTTTCTGCTAATTTTGTCGGTTACTCATATGAATATGTATACGTATATATATATGCGTGTGTGTGTGTGTTGATAGAAATGCTCATTAATATATCATCATCCCAGGAATACCTGGGAGATAGAGCAAAACAGTCACTTCCCAGCCGTTTGCCAGTTCCAAACGAGATACTTCGGGCGAAGACTCCCTTTGCACCAGGGCCATCTGATTTCATCATCCACTGGCAACACGGGGGTGCATTCAACAACATGAAAAGCACAAAGCTGGCCCTCAAGTTGTGGAGCATGTAAATTCGATCAACAAAAGGTGAAATTGTAGAGACAAGCTGACAAGCACTGGATGATCTAGATGGAGTCCTCCATGTGGCATGGTCCAGGGGGCAATTCAGCATTGTTTCTCTCAGCGCTTTCGAAAGCATGTCGAAATCCCATGAGTCAGTGGCCAAATATGACAAGATTATGACAACTATGACAAATTGATGACGACTATGACAATATATGGCAATATGATGGCCAAACAAGGTCAAGAAACAAGGTCAAGAATTGTCAAGGAATCGTCCCGCCCTCGTTCCACATCTGCTTCACCCAGATCAAACCCGACATGCCCAGCATCACTTGAACCCCACCTGCGGTTCCATGCCCGCAACCTGAGCAGTCCCAGGGTCCAGAGGGCCCAGCGACCCCAACTGCATCACCTGCATCATCAGTTCCTGCCCGTTCCCAGGCTCTTCAGAAACACCGAGAAAGTTTGGCCCATCCAGCCACTTCCTTTTTTCTGTCGCCATTCGGGACCAATGCACCGTATCTGGGCCCTTGACAATCAGGCCGGAAATCGGCAAAGGATGAAGAGTGGCAGTCATCTCTCTTAATGATTCATAATGTGGCACACCTAATAATCCACCATCCCCAATGTCACCAGAAATGAGCGCATATTATATAAGGGTGTGAAATAGTTTTAGGATTTTTTTTTTTGAACAGGTTTGGGATTTTTTTTTGGATTTCTTGGCTGGTACCATTTGCCTAG